TGCTCGGATAATCATGAGACTGATTTGGTTTAATAGGGATTCAAAATAAGGAGCAGGTGGATTTTATCATTGTAGAGTGGTTATGTTCACACACTGATAACACACATTTATGTCCAAACACCATGTTACAGTGGATTTTGCATAATAGGCTGCCCTTTAAAATGGTCTTAAACTGTGTCACGGCATATGCTGCTCTACCAATACATATCGATAATAATAATAATAACTGTCGGTTATTTTGTTAAACAGGGAATCTTGCTCTTGGAGGCAAAGCTGTTCAGTCTTCCACATACAGTGATTTAGGAGCTGCTCAAAATGCTGTCGATGGCAACAGGCAGTCAATATTCACGCTCGGCTCATGCAGCGTGACTAACGGGGACATGAACCCCTGGTGGAGAGTTGACTTGCTGGAGGTCTACAGGGTAACCAGGGTTAGCATCACTAATCGTGGAGACTGTTGTGAAAAGACTGTCGAGGGTATTCAGATCCGTATCGGCAACAGCCTGGAGAATAACGGCAACAATAATGAGCTGTAAGTGCTGTCTCTCTCTTAATACTTACATAAATTGTTAGAAAATGAGTAAATAAGATGAAATTACTTTGAATTAATCATTTTAATACAAACTTGCCTTTGACAGAAGTATATCTGATATGCCCCTCTCTTTTTCTCTGTTTCTGTGTGTCTTCACAGGGCTGCAACTGTTGGGCCCATCCCACTTGGAAACACCAAAACATTTGAGTTTAAGCATGTTAAAGGTCGATACGTCAACCTTATTGTGCCTGGACGCAATGAGTACCTCACACTGTGTGAAGTTGAGGTATATTCAGGTATGTGATAAAAGGAGAGAGACGTGGTGTGTAGAAATTTGTATGTGTACATTTACTATACATAAGTGTTCGCGCCCTATCGTAATTACTTGGAAAAAGCATTCAGGTCCTCGTAGAACACGTAATTACAACTTGTGAACTGGGAGTTTTCTGAGAGCTACAACTCGTACCACTACCACCTGACCACCTCAGATTCATTAGGCACTATATTTAGGCATTGATAGTGCAATAATTCCAAGTCCAAGGGTGTGAACAGCTCCACGTAGAATGTCATGTGTTGTCATCTCGAAATCACAGTAATTACGGCATGGCGTGAATGCAGTAATATATACTATTATGTCTCTGTTGCCTTAATTAATTTTTTTTTTTTCTGATTTCATTGCCAGATTAAGTGGAACAAGATGATGTCACACCACAGTCCACTGATCCTATAAGCAAATTTAATCAAACTACTGTTTTCTGAACAATACGTGCACATTTTCATTTTACCTATGCACCTTTAATCCTTAAGAGCTCTTTCGGTGCACATTCAGAAAAGGTTTGAATGGTGAAGGTTTAAAGCTCTGAAATTCTTAACTTCAGTTTGCTGCAGGTTGTGTATTTACAGCCTGAACACACCCATCTTTGTTCATCTTTGCTTTCTAAATAAATTACCACAGCATTGCATGTTGTATTGCATTTTTCTGAATCAAAACATCACTTGGATGTTTACAGTGAGGAGGAAGTATATTTATATGAAGTGTAGCTAAGGTGTGAGTTTAACAACATCCAAAACCAAGTTTAATCATATATAATTCTGCAATTCCTGCAGACATCTGACTTTAATGAAAATAATAATGAAAGTGTTATTCCTTAATACCTGTTTGTGCCACTGTCTGATTATTACTGACAGAATAAAACACATTCCCACTTCCAGGTTTGACAGAAGACACAGTTGATCGGAGTCTGTTTGTAGAATACCACACATGCAGGATTAAAACTTAGGTATAAGGAAAACAAATTAAATATCAAAAGTAAATAAAGACTTTAAACAGTAAAAAAGTGCAACCGTTACAAGTAACAGGGTTGCAAATTTAGCCTAAATTAAGCAGTCACTGTCAGGGTTGCAGGAAGGAGTAGTTGAAGAAATAGATCATATGTATTGCAAAAGACATTTATCACCTATTTTAGCACTTTCAAATATGGCAATTTATATGACTGAAATACATTTTCATACATACTTATGTATACTACACAAACATAGTAATTTATATTTATTTACATAAATATATTATGTCATACCTTAAACTCTTATAATCATAAATAACAAAATGATTGGATGCTTGGATTTAAAAAACTGAATTGGTTTTTAAATTAATCCATTTGTGGCCAAATTTTTCTGAATGGTTTCATGCATATAGTCATGTTAATAGTGTCCTATGTGAACATGTTTTTTTTTTTGTTTTTTTTCGTATTTAAATGTGCGGCAACTATAGTTGCCGGTGGGCAAATAGGTTGTATGCACACCTTCAATGTCAAGTTTGAATAGGAGGAGAGCTTTTGGCATCTAACTTAAAATAACTGCTTTCAACAGATCAATATTTATTCATAAACAAATTGATCATGCATAAAAGTCGAAGTTGCAAAAGACATTTATCACCTATTTTAGCACTTTCAAATATGGCAATTTATATGACTGAAATACATTTTTATTCATAAAAATGCACGTGCTTATGTATACTACACAAACATAGTAATGTATATTTATTTACATAAATATATTATGTCATACCTTAAACTCTTATAATCATAAATAACAAAATGATTGGATGCTTGGATTTAAAAAACTGAATTGGTTTTTAAATTAATCCATTTGTGGCCAAATTTTTCTGAATGGTTTCATGCATATAGTCATGTTAATAGTGTCCTATGTGAACATGTTTTTTTTTTTTGTTTTTTTTCGTATTTAAATGTGCGGCAACTATAGTTGCCGGTGGGCAAATAGGTTGTATGCACACCTTCAATGTCAAGTTTGAATAGGAGGAGAGCTTTTGGCATCTAACTTAAAATAACTGCTTTCAACAGATCAATATTTATTCATAAACAAATTGATCATGCATAAAAGTCGAAGAACATTCGATGCAAACCCAAAAAAAGTTGCATCTAGCTTATAATCCCTTGAATATGAAAACACAACAAATCCATTTGTCTTAAAGTGGTGGAACATAGTGCAGAACAAAGTGCAGCCATTAAGTTGCCCCAACAGGGTATTGTGTATCAAAAAGTTAAATGAAAATAAATAAAAATAAATAGAATGAAGAAAATGCATCTATATAATAAAAAAGTTATACCTGTAAGAAAATTACACATTTAACTGTTTGGTTACCATCATTCTGTAAAATATCTTCTTTTGTGCTCAACAGAAGAAAGAATCTCATAGGTTTGCAACTTGAAGATGACACAATGATAACATAATTTCCATTTTTTGGGTGAACTTTCCCTTACGTAAGCAGTTTTAGTATAAGTAGCATACAAGTAGCCTACAAGGAGTACTGCAGTGAAGGTACAAGAAGTTTTATACATTTACATAAACATTTGCATACTATACTTTGTGATGCAAATATGTAAAATATCACATATTTTATGAATAGGCACATATTGATTAGGTCAAATGGATTAACCCTGACAAAAGTCCTTGATATTCATTAAATTAATGATATTATTTTAAAAATATATGATCATTTAAATAATTATCATGTTTAGGCAACACCCATGATTGTTTGTTTATTTATTTACTTATTATTGAACATGCAGGTTTTTTCATTCTTAGAGGTGTGTTAGTTAAATGAAAATAAATGAAGAAAAATAAATAGAATGTAGAAAATATTACATCCGTATAATAAAAAAAGGTATACCTGAAAGTTACGCATTTTTTAGGCCCATAGTATTCAATGGCTGACTGTAGTAGGTGATTTCATATAATAATGTACATGTAAACTCAATACTTGTCTGAATTTCATCATTATAATGGAATTGTAAGCTACTAGTCATAAAAAGAATTAGGGTCCTTGACCAATTAGAATGAAACGCATCCAAACTGGATAAAGGGGCCTCAATATTTTGCCCCTTACAAGACATGTCATAAAAGGGAGAAAAGAATAATCTACAGCATAATGCATTAGCTCTTTATCTTTCCATTCTTCCTTTTGTGTGACTGACAGAAGTTTGTAAACTGCTGCTGTCACTTGAAAGCTGGAAATCTGAGGAAAAGAGGTCTCTGCATGCGGTCTCGCTGTGAGTAATTTCCTCTTGACATAAAAGTTATGAAACAATACATTTATTTTGTCATCACTGCCACCACAGGACAACCTGAGCATTGCACCCAAAATTGGTTGGTGATAAGATTACAAAATTAGTGGCGGGAAATTAAATACAATTAATATTTTGGTGGCCATTATTGTTTTGTTTTTTTTTTGTTTGTTTTTTAATTAAATCTTAAAAATCTCCAAAAAGTGTTTATATTAAATTAACTGTAAATAAATGCTGGTGATGTTCATAGGGACTGGATAAGTGGTATTACAATTACTGTATATATTGAGTGACAATTACGGCTGTTAATGAATTATTTTTCATCTAAATCATTATTATTTGTTCATTAAGTAACCTAATTAATTACAAATAATTGCATATCGATATTTACATCAGAGCTCTTCTGGTTTTCTTCCTCTTGCTTGCTTGTCCATGTGCCTATCACAATCTTCTTCTGGACTGGATAGCCCTCGGTGGACGGCCTGACACTCCTCCGGGTTCGGGCAGCCGGCAGGAGTCCCCCGTTCCCTGCTCCTCCCCATCATGGCGGATGGCAGCAGGCTCCGGCCTCAGGCGAACGGCGGCGACTCCTCCGCTCCCTCATGGACGGTAGCCGTCCCTCCACATCCCAGGCGGCCAGCAACGAG